CCTCCGTGGAGAGCCTCTTGGGGGCCTCACGAAAATTTTGCAGGGTTTCTTGGGGCCTTCTGGAGGCCTCCAGGGCGCCTTCTGGAGGCCTCTGAGGGCTTCCTCGAGCCACCCTGCTTCCGACGACGGTCTCCCTGAACAACCGGGTCGCGATTTGGAATGCTTCAGGGGGCGTTTTGGGGCCATCTGAAGCCGTCATGGGCCTCCTCATGGGCCGTACTCTCGAAACCCGCGTGGATTCATGCACGTGCGCGTCCTTCTCTCGCTCCTGAATATTGGGGCCCTGATGGGTCGCCGTGGGGCCCTCGTGGACTGCCGGGAAGCCCTTTCGGGCAGCCTTGGGACGACTTTCGGGCCTCCTGGGCGGTCGGGACGCCTGGGCGGCCGCAGGGCAGCGCATCCTCCAAATCATGCAGCAAAGAATTGGATACCAGCGTTTCCTAACAAAAAATACAAAGCCCAGAAGATAGCGCAAGAGCACCCCCCGCGCCCCCACTTGCAATGTTCATCTGAGGGAGCAGGCCGCTGTTTGCAAATGTTTTTTATTGAAAAAAACGACTCACACTCCACCGCGTCGACCGCCCCGAATTTTAAAACTTGGGCCGGGGGGTTGGACCCGCTTCAACGCGCATTCGAGACGGGCGTTTTTTTCCTCCGAAAACCATGGTATCAATGCTTTGCTGCGTTTCGAAAGCCTCTTGGGGGTCTTCGTTGGATTGCCTTCAAGCGTCTGGCGGGTGTCCGGGGCCCCTTGCGGTCCTCGAGGGGCCATTCGGCCGCCGGACGGACGGTTTTGAGCGTGCGGGCTAAGCTCAGCAGGGGAGTCCAACTGTCCGGAAAGCCCCCTGGACACTCCGAAAGAACGTCCAGGGCGTCCGCGGGGGGGGTTTGGTTTAGGGGAAGGGATTCGTGTGATAAAACATGAGAACAGGAAAACGTACATGTATAATCATACGCATTGTGTATCGGAGGTCGGGGGGTGAGATCGCAGCGAGACGGAGACCCCCACCGGGAAATCGGTTTCGGTTTCGGTTTCGTGTTCGTGTCGTGCGTGCGGGCGAAGCGAAGCTGCGCGTGATCCTCCTGTAGCTAGGCCGAAATAGGAGCGAAAGTCCGTTCCCGTCCGCCAATGGCTGGGAGGTGTCCCAGTTGGGCCGGGCGGTGTCCCGGGTGTCCCGGGTGCCAGTAGGAGCGAAAGCCCGTTTCCCGTCCGCCAGTGGCCCGGAGGTGTCCCAATTGGGCCGGGCGGTGTCCCGGGTGTCCCGGCGCTACCGCATGTCGCAAACTTCATAATTCATTTTTTGGGGCGCCTGTGGCGGGCTTTCTTATCAATCCAGCTTATCTTATCCAACCCATATTGTCCATTTAATCCATCTTATCATATCCAACCCATCTTGTCCCATTTTATCTTATCCCACCCAATCCAATCCACCCAACCCAATCCATCAATTCATTTGTTTCTGCGCCTGCGGCGGGCCAACCCAATCCATCTTATCCAATCCGTCTCTTCCAATCCAACCCATCTTATCTGATCCAATCCATATATCCCATCCAATCCACACAACTCAATCCATCAATTCATTTTTGTCGGCGCCTGCGGCGGGCTTCCCTATCCAATCCAGCTTATCTTATCAAAACCATCTTGTCCAATCCAAGCAGTCTTATCTGATCAAACCCATCTTGTCCCATTTTATCTTACCCCACCCAATCCAATCCATCAATTCATATGTTTCTGCGCATGCGGCGGGCCAATCCAATCCATCTTATCATATCAAATCCACCTCTGCCAATCCAATCCATCTTATCTTATTCAATCCATCGTATCCCAGCCAATCCAACTCACCCAACCCAATCCATCAATTCATTTATGGCAAGCGCAAATGGCAGGAAGGTCAAGTCGACTATTTAGCGATCACATCTTGTTGCCTTTTTCCGGCATCGCCGTTATAATCCCGCCAGCCCTCTGGGCGTAGGTGGTCTAGGAAGTTTCCTCTTCCAACCTCCTCTTCCCCTTCGGGGAGGGGTTTACCCATCCACCCTACCTCCTCCCCTGGACCCGGACGGGGGGGTTCGCGAGCGGACAGAGCTTCCAAGATGGCCCAAAACAGCTCCAAGAGGGGCTCAGAGAGCCCAAGATGAACTCCAAGATGGTCCAAGATAGCGCAAGATGCTTCAAGATGGCTTCCAGGATGCTCAGAGAGGATCCAAGACCGCCTCAAGACGGCTCCAAGAGGCCTCCAAGGAGGTCCCCCAGAAGCCAGAATCCTTCAAAAATCTGAGGAACACCGATGATGTTTGCCTTCCTCGCCTTTTCGCTTCCGATAGCCATCCGAGGCCTCAAGATGGCTCCAAGATGGCCAAAGAGGAGCCCAAGAGAGCCCCAAGACGGCTCCAAGAGCGCCTAAGAGCGCCTGATAAATGGTCCAGGAGAACCCCCTTCTTTGATCGATCTCCTCCAAGATGGGCCCGAGAGCGCCCCTAAAGCCACCCAAGAGCGCTCAAAGAGGGCCCCACGAGGCACCCAGACGGTCCCAAGAGGCGCCCAAAACAACTCCAAGAGGCCCCCAAGAGACCCCCCAGAGGCCTCAAGAATATCCCCGAGGCACCCAAGAAGCCCCCAAGACGCTACAAGAGGCCTCCAAAACAAACACCAGCAGCAATAGCACCACCACCGCCAACAGAAACAGCGACACCAGCAGCAGCACCAGCAGCAGCACCAACAGCGCGAGAACCAACAACACCACCAGCAGCACCAGCAGCAGCAGCACCACCACCAGTACCAGCAGCAGCAACAACACCAACAGCAGCACCCGTACCATTCGCTACCAAAGATCTCCCAATTCACCGTTGTTGCCAACGCTGTTTCACTATGTGCGTCTCTTTCGCCCTTCTCCCGTCAGCTCTCCTGGGCATCGTTTCTGGATGGGCTGGGCACGCGAAGCGTCAACAATAATGTTATTCGTCGTCCTCCCTCCATGTTTTTTTGTTTCTCTCATTCTAGCCATGCCCTGCGAAGGCTCCCCATCCTCCTCAGCTCCTTTTGCGGCGGCTCCTCCTTGGAGAGCCTCTGGGGGCAGCACTAAAGTTTCCCAGGCTTTCTGAACGCCTTCTGAAGCCTCCTGGGCGTGTTCTGAGGGCCTCATCGGGGGCTTCCTCGGGCAACCCTGCCTCCAACCGCGGTCTCCCTGAATGACCAGGTCACGATTTGGAATGCTTCGGAGGGCGTCTTGGGGCCATCTTGGGCCGCCATGTGACCTTCTCAGGGCCATCGTGGACCACTGCTGTGCCGTCTAAGGAGCTCTCTTGGACTGCCTGGAAGCCCATTCGGATGGTTGTGGGGCGATTTGGGAGCCTCCGGCGGCTTCGGACGCGCAGAAGACCGCCGTATTGGAGCGCCGGGGAGGCGAAAAGAGGAGAACCCCAGAATTCTCCAAAAACCACCAGAAAATCAATGAACTCGTTTGGGACCGTCTTCGGGCTCTCGTGAGGTGCTCCCGGGTCGCCAGGAGGCGCGGGGAGGGCCAAACTCGTTAGGAAGGGGGGGGGGCGCTTTTTCCGGCGTCCCCGGCCTTATAAAACTAGCCTGGCGAAGGACCCAACCATAAGCAGTGATACGCGCCGCAGTTGTGAGTATCATCTTCGGTGGATCGATCCTCCGCGGCCACGAAATGTGGCGGCACCAACATGCGGACCATGCCGCTGCAGTCTTCGGTGGTGCCGCCCGCCTCAAGCCACGAAACGCGCGACGAGTGCGCCAAAATGTGGGATGGAACCGCTTGCGGGCGCTGCCTCTGGGGCCTCAGGTGGAGCACCCTGTGGGGCCACGGAACGCGTGAGGGGTTCGCCGAAACGAGGGAGCGGAACCGCATGCGAACGCAGCCACTGGGGTCTTCGGTGGAGCTCCTGACGGGGCCACGGAACGTGTGAAGGGTGTGCCAAAATGCCGAGGTGACGGCATGCGGGCCCTGGCACTGGGGCCTTCCCTGCGGGGCTACGAATCGAGTAAGGGGTGTGCCGAAATGGCGCGGTGGCGGCATGCAGGCCCTGGCGCTGGGGCCTTCGGTGGAGCACCCTATGGGGCCACGCGGCGTGTGAGGGGTGTGCAGAAATTGCGAGGAGGCGGCATGCGGGCCCTGGCACAGGGGCCTTTGGTGGAGCTTCCTACGGGGCTACAAAGCGTGTGAGGGTGCGCATGAAGTGCGAGGTGGCGGCATGCGGGCCCTGGCGCTGGGGCCTTCGGTGCAGTTCCCTGCGGGGCCACGAAGCGTGCGAGGGGTGTGCTGACATGGCTAGGTGGCGGCATGCGGGCCTTAGCACTGGGGCCTTTGGTGGAGCTTCCTATAATGGCTACGACTCGCGTGAGGGGTGTGCCGAAATGGCAAGGTGGCCGCATGGGGTCCCTGGCACGAGGGCCTTCGGTGAAGTTCCCTCTGGTGCCACGAAGCGTGTGATGGGTGCGCCAAAATGGCGAGGTGGCGGCATGCGGGCCCTGGCACTGGAGCTTGTCCCGCTCCTCCGTAGCCATTTTGGCTCAAGCATCTCTGTTCTGTCCGCCCGAGCCGCAGGGTAGATCCGCGGGCCGCGCCCCACGTCCGGCCCCATTTGTGCCCGATGGAGCAGCTTCGCCCGCTGCGGGAATTGTTTTTTCCGCTGGGTGGAGGCCGCGTCGACGTGCTTCGCCTCTCCGCGTTTGCGCGGGATGTCGGCGCATTGCTGGAGCTAGCCCCGGCCTGGCCTGCCCCGGAACGGTCCGCGAGAAGGGCGGGCCTGCGGTGGCAGGGTTGTTCGACTTGGCGTCGGAGCTGGAGCGTTTCCTGAGGAGGCAGTTGCGACCAGTCCCCCGTCCGCGGGCAGGGGCCTCCGCCGTGCGTTCGCCGTATACGCGGGGGCAGTGCAGCAGTTCGGAAAGCCCCCTCGAGGCCCCAGGGAGGGAGAGGTTAATTTTGGTGGGCCTGAACCTGGGCAGAACGGGTTTTCTCCCCCTGGGGTCGGAGCTCCTCATGGAGTGGCGGCTGGAGGCCCTCGCTCACGCGCTGGACCAGAGCGGCGTGGACATTTGTATACTACCGGGAGCGCGCCTCCCGCCTGGTGCGGTGCTCCCTCCTGGGTTTCCGTATCTGGTGGAGGGGTCGCGCTCCGCTGGCTGGGAGTCGGTTGCAATGATTTTTCGCCCAGGCCTGGAAGTGGCGCTCCGGCCCCTTGCTGAGTTCTCTCCGCCGCGTGAGCTATGGTTCGCGCTCTGGGGCCCGCCCCCAGCCCCCTTCCCCTCCCTTCTCCTTCGTGCCCTGTACGCGCGACCGGGGGGTGACGAGGCCACCTGGGCCTCCATTATTTCCTATGCCGCCGAGCTGCAGCTGCGCGCGCGCTACCCGCTGGCCCGCGTCATCTTGGCCGGGGGCGCTAACGTGCACCTCGCGTACGTCGTCGCTCACGACCAGTCGTGCGCGTGTCTCCATTGCCGCCAGCGGGCAGCCGACCGCGCCATTGAGGCCGCCCTAGAGGCAGCGGGGCTGCGCGCCTTCGATTCAGTTGCTCCTACGCGTGTTTCGAGCCACTGCGTTGATCTCGTGTTGGGTGCCGTGGTCAACCCTGTCCAGGCGAGGGTGCATCCTGATTTCGTTGAGGTTGGTCCTGGCGGATGTGCCATTTGCGATTGCTGCGCCATTGTGCCTCGGGTTTGGTCGGGTTTTCTGGGCTTCGAGTTCGGAGTGGGAGGGGGAGCTGCTCGAAGTCTCGAGCCTGCTAGACCACGTGGCCTCCCTGGTCGAGGGCGCCGCGGACGCCCCGGCGATGAAACCAAACTGGTTCGGGGGGGCGCGACCAGGGCGGAGCGCAGAGCCTTGGTCGACGTAGCGGGCTGGGCGAGGGACGCATTGTAAATCTTGACTGGGCACGCCGCGGGCGCAACGAAAGCACCCCGGAAGCAAACGGGAGCCCGCGCGGGCGGCCGCGCCCCGTTGAACCCGGCGTCTTGTGCCGACCACATGGCGTTCAAGCGCGCGTTCGACATGGCCCTCCTTGGGAACCGCGCAGGCACGCAGCGACGCGGTATGTGCACCTGCGGTCGGTCTCACCGGCGGGGGCCGAGCGGTTCCTGTCGGGCTATTTTCACGGAGCCTCGCGTTTCTCCGTGCAGCTGGTGGACACCTCGACGGCTGTCAGCTTGACCCCTATCGAAATGGTCGACGCCGTCGTGGGCGATCTGGTAGGACGTGCGCGCGACGATTTTCCCGAGGACGCGGCCGAAGCGGCCCGCTTTAGCAGGCCTGTTGCAGCGATTCGCCGCCGCCGGCTCCGTTCCCGGCTCCGCCGAGCGCGTGCACCCTGGACGAGGTCAAGAGGGCCACAGCAATGAGGAGGCCGCGTAAGAGCACAGTTCGTGGCACGAGCGCGGCAGTGCTGGCTGAAGTTCCTGCAGGCCGCCGTGTGACACGGGCGCTGGTTAACCTGAGTCAGGCTTCGTGCGTGATCGCCCACCTCTGGTCCCTGCGCCAGTTCTCGCCGATTCACAAATCAGACCCGCTCGTTGTCCGCAACACCTCGCGCCTCCATCCCATTTTGCATGCTTGCGAAATGGCGTCTGTCCACGACCTTTCTGGAACCTCCGCACCGCAGCTGCGCTGGAGGCGTCTGCGGGCCCATCCCAGCAGGGGGGTGTCTGCGACCCCCTTTCTTTTGTTTTGGCACTAGTGGCCCATGTCCAGCCATTTTGGCTCAAGCCAAAGAAAAGGCTCAAGGGGCTCGAGGCTCGAAGGGGAGGGGGTCGGGCCCTGGCCGCGCGCGATGGCACCCTCGCCTGGGCCAGCTTGCATGCCTGCCGACTTGCCGCGTCGCCGCTCGGGGGAAGCAGCGGCGGCGCGGCGAGAGGGGAGGCGACGCGCACGCAAGGCGAGCACAGGAGCAGCGCCTCAGGGTGAGGCACGCGAGGCAGCGCCGCAAAGGAAGGAGGGAGGCAGAGGAGGCGGCGGGGGCACCCGCACAGGCGGACCCCGCCAGGAGAGGGGAGGAAGAGGAGAAGGCGGGAGCAACCGCACAGGCGGACCCCGCCAAGAGAGGAGCGGCACCGCGGAGCTCCCGCCTGACCCCGGCCCTCCACCAGGCCTGTGGGAGGTAGTGGGCGGGCGTCGCTGCACTTCGGAGGCCCACGCGAGGAAGAGCAGCCAGCTCAGGCAGGGGCCCACTTTGATCAGGGGTGAGTCGTTCGGGCCCCTCCGTTTTCGGCGGGCCGCCGAAGCAGAGGCAGAGGAAGAGCAGGACCAGCAACACCAAGGACAACACACGCACACCAAGCGGCATCGCAACGACCACAACCACGACAACTGGAAACAGCATCGAGACCACGACGCGCAGGGTGTCACGCGTACAGGGTGCACCCACGGCCTTCGCCAAGAGGGGCCACTCGAGGCAAGGGAAGCTGGGCAGGCGCCGTGCCGGGCAGCTTTCACTCGCAAAGGCTTTCGACGGGCTCGCCGACGAGCCGCGAGACAAGACCTAGAGGACGCGATCGCCGAGCACATCGCGATCATGAAGCAGGCGTCGGCCTTTCACCGCCGGCGCGCGTTCTTGACAGAGAGGTTTGGCAGAAGGTTTGTCGCCACCCGACGAGCGCAAGAGGCGGCCAAGGGTCAGGCGCCGCGCGACGAGGACCAGCTGCCGCAGCAACGCCCCGACCAGAGCAACTTGTCTCTGCACCCTGGGCGGCCGCGTTACGGTCAGGCCCCGCGCCGACCGCACAAGAAAACCGAGGCTGACAAGGAGATGGCGCGGGCGGGGCTACTCGGGGAGCACGCCTGCTTTGGCCCGGCGCCACGCGCACCACCGCAAGCGCACCCACCAGCACCACAACGAGCAACAAACAACCTCACAACAAGCACCACCACAAGCACCGCGCCAAGCACACCACCTCAAGCGCACCCACCACCACAGCAAGCACCCACCACCACAGCTAGCGCCCTGGAGGGGGGTGGGTACTCCCAGCACCGGCGCCCGCACCGGCGACAGGACGCTGACCGAGAGATGGCGCGGGCGGGTGTCGGCGAAGTCGCGCCGCTCATAACCAGAGCGCACATCCGCCACGGGCGCTCCGAGAGCAGGCAGCACCGCAGCGACAAGAGCGACGGCAGCCAGCACCAAGAGCAGCAGCACAACGACTACGACCAGCAGCACCACCACGACGACAAGCATCGACAGCAGCAGCACCACCACCACGACAACCAGCACCAGCGGCAGCAACGCCACCGCGACGAGCGGTTGCAGCACCGCGACGACCAGCAGCAGCAGCACCACCACCACCACCACCACCACGACCACCAGCACCAGCAGCAGCACCGCAACCACCACGACGACCAGCACCAGCAGCAGCACCGCAACCACCACGACGACACCCGGCACCACCGCCACCACCACGAGGACAACCGGCACCAGCGGCAACACCGTCACCACGACCAGCTGCAGCAGCACCACCGCGACGACCAGCAGCAGCAGCAGCAGCAGCAGCAGCAGCAGCAGCAGCAGCAGCAGCACAACCACCACGACGACCACCAGCAGCAGCAGCAGCAGCAGCAGCAGCAGCAGCAGCACCGCAACCACCACGATGACACCCTGCACCACCACCGCCGCCACCGCGACCACGGACGGCAGCCCCTTCACAGCAGCAGCAGCAGCAGCAGCAGCAGCAGCAGCAGCAGCAGCAGCAGCAGCGGCAGCAACGGCAGCAGCAGGCACCGCGGCAGCGGCCAGGACGACAGCAGCCAGCAGGGCCCTCCGCCACCCCAGACGGCCATTCCAGCCGTCTGGCCGCCAGCCCTCCAGCCCCTTCCGAGGGAGGGGGCTGGCGTCAGCTGCAGCCCGTGCCCCCCAGGGGAAGAGCCCCATTCCCACGGTAGGACTCCCCTGGGGCCAGTTCCCCATCGGGGTTCGCGCGGCTCCGCTGCGGTCCCCGGTGGCGCCCCGGCTTGTGCAGCAAGCCCACAGGAGCAACGCGACAACATGTTCGACCACAAGAGGCGGTACGACTCCCAACAAGGGCGCCGCGAGCAGCAGCACAACGACGACGACAAGCAGCAACGTCAGCAGCAACACCACCACCACGACAACCATCACCAGCGGCAGCGTCGCCACTGCGACCAGTTGCAGCGGCACCACCACGACGACCAGCAGCAGCAGCAGCAGCAGCAGCAGCAGCAGCAGCAGCAACACCACCACCACCACCGCCACCACCACCGCCACCACGACCAGCAGCAGCAGCAGCAGCAGCAGCAGCAGCAGCAGCAGGGCAACCACCACAACGACCAGCACCACAGCGACCAACACCAACGACCAGCAACACAGTATGCACCAAACGACCAGCGCCACAGCACGCACCCAACGACCAGCACCACAGTGACGACCAGCACCACCACAGCACCACAGCACGCAGCCAACGACTGCGGATGGCAGCTCCCTGGCAGCAGCAGCAAAAGCAGCAAAAGCAGCAGCAGTGGCAGCCAGCAGGGCCCTCCGCCGCCCCAGACGGCCATTCCAGCCGTCTGGCCGCCAGCCCTCCAGCCCCTTCCGAGGGAGGGGGCTGGCGTCAGCTGCAGCCTGTGCCCCCCAGGGGAAGAGCCCCATTCCCACGGTAGGACTCCTCTGGGGCCAGTTCCCCATCGGGGTTCGCGCGGCTCCGCTGCGGCTCCCGGTGGCGCCCCGGCTTGTGCAACAAGCCCACAGGAGCAACGCGACAACATGCTCGACCACGAGAGGCGGTACGACTCCCAACAGGGGCGCCGCGAGCAGCAGCACAACGACGACGACAAGCAGCAACATCAGCAGCAACACCACCACCACGACAACCATCACCAGCTGCAGCGTCGCCACTGCGACCAGCTGCAGCGGCACCACCACGACGACCAGCAGCAGCAGCAGCAGCAGCAGCAGCAGCAGCAGCAGCAGCAGCAGCAGCAGCAGCAGCAGGGCAACCACCACAACGACACCCTGCGACACCGACCAGCAGAAACACCAACGCCACCGCAAACACAGCGACCAGCCGCAGCACCGCGACAGCGACCGACAGCGCCGCCACCAGCACCAGCGCCAGCACAAGCACCGCCACCACCACGACAGGAGCAGTGCGCACTGGCGAGGAGTCCGCGGGAGGCGCTCTACGGCTACCGCGGACAACGGGTCGGCGAAGCCAGCCACCCAGGCCCCCCGGGCCAGCCGACGAGCCGCCGGGCACGCCGGAACGCAGATCGGGAGAGTCTGCCCCGGTACCAGCGCTCGCGGAGACGCCGCCGCACATGCTGTCGGCGCCGGAAGGGTTTGCCACGCCAGACTCGCGAGCGGGCGCGCGGTCGGCCTCACCACCGCCACCACCACCGCAGCTGAACCACTTCGCCAGCATTTTCGGCGCCTGGCCGGCAGCGCCCCCTGAACCAGAGGGAAGGCGGCGGGACTTCTCGGGCCTCTCCCTGCCGCCAGCAGGGCGCGAGGCGGCCGAGGAGCAGCGACAGCCACCGCAGCAACAGCAGGGGCCAGACCCGCCAGACAGGGAGGAATGCGCCATCTGCCAGACGCCGCTCGACGGGGACACCGTGACGTGGCCAGCTTGCGGCCATGTCCCCCACCGCTTCCACGCAGCGTGCGCAGCGAGGCATCGGCCGACACGGGCAGGCCTGGCCCACTTGTACCACACAGGTGACGCATCCCGTGCCGAAAGGTCGCCATGCCCCCTTTGCAACAGCCCGTGGGGGGACTCGCCGGGTGGCGTGGCGGCGCTCGCGAGCTTCGCGGGATCCCTGGACGCTTCTGGAGACTACCCCACCCGAGGGTGCAGGTGCTCACGCTGCCGAGCCGCGGCCGGCCCGCCAAGTGAGGAGGAGGCGGACCCTTACGCAGGAGGACCCCTTGAGCAGCCAGGAGGGCCCGCGCCGCACGCCATCGCAGTCTGCCCGCGACACTTCCAACCCCTGCGGTGGCGGCACTCTCGCGGGCCCAGCGGGCTGGCGGGCAGCTGGGAATGCCGCGCCTGCGACGTGGCCCCCCTGGGTAGCGACGTCTCGCCGCCGCAGGGCGCGAGACCGCCGCGCTGCCCCTGCGGACGGCCAGGGCCAATCGAGTGGGTCGCCAGGGCCGCCAGGGCCACAGGAGGGTCGTGGAGATGGCACGGGGCCTGGCTCTGCGAGGGCTGCGCCGCCACGCCGCTTCCGGAGCCAGTGGTCGCCGCCCCTCCGTCGCCGCCCGCGACAACAGCAGACGCAGGAGACCCTCGACTGGCGCGCCCCGAACAGGCGCCCACCGCCGCAGAGCAACGGCAGCCTGGCCGCTTCGCCGGATGGCCTCCCCTGGCGGGCCCACTACGAGAACGAACCAACTCACGCGTGTACGTGCCCTTGCTATTAGCAGCGGCGGGGCTGCTTGACCAGCAGGAGGCGGCGGGATGGAGCACGCACCCGCTCACGCACGACTGGTGGCAGCCGACAGTGGAGGCCTTGCAGCAAGCGGACCCCGTGCCAGCCGAGACCTTCGCCCAAGGGCTGGAGTTCGCAGGGGCCAGCCCAGGGGCGATATATGCCGTGATCGCCGCTGGGGGCGGAGCACGCCCTGGACACGTGCACCTGCCGCCTGTGGTCAGAGCGCTGGCGGACAGCGCTGGCTACATCGACAACCTCGCCCAGGACCTCTTGCTCGAGCTCTTCGGGGGGGTCGTGCTGGCGCGGGGGGTCGACCGGCGCGCAGACGAGCTCCGCGACCCGGCCAGGTGGGCCGCAGCCGCGCCACGCCCGCCGAGGCCGCCACCAGCGGCGCCAGCAGGACCTCAGCCCAGCGACGACGCCAGCGAGGGGGGCCCAGGAGAAGGCAGAGGCCGAGGAGGCAGAGGAGGAAGAGGCGCCAGAGGAAGCAGAGGGCGAGGCGCTAGAGGGGGCCGAAGAGGAAGAGGCACCAGAGGAGGGGGAGGAGGGGGAGGAGGCAGCTCGAGCAGCAGCACCGCCAGCGAGAGCGAGGAGGACACTGAGGACAACGCCTCCAGCAACTCTGGCCCCGCGCTGCCCGCGCCGCTGGCCCAGCCCCGCCGAGACGGGGGCGCGGGACGAGCTGCTCCTCCCCGGGCGCGCCTGGGGCGCCGCCCCGCGCACGCCCGCGCTCGCTTGACGGCGGCAGAGAGGGAAGCGCTGGACGCGACAGACGTAGCATCTGTGCTCCGGGCCCGCGTGCCAACACTCCAACGGGCGCCAGCGTTCGCGCGGGGGCCGTTCCGCAACGCCTTGCGCAAAGCTTTGGAGCTGATCCGAGAGGGCGAAGCAGACGAGACAGGAGCAGCGAGAGGGTGGAAGCTGTTCCTCCTGCTCCCACGACTGCTCTTGAGGAGAGAGGCGGGGCAGCAAAGGATCCCCAAGGAGCAACTCCTGGAGAGGTTCACCCGCTTCGAGGCTGGAGACTGGGCGCAGCTTCTGGCAGAAGCACAGCCGGGCCCGCCGCGCAGGCCGCCCGAGCGAGACGCGAACGGGCAGAGCTCGCGAGGCACGACGGGGCCGGGCGCCAGACGAAAACGAGGAGCTCCGCAGCCGCCGCGAGAGGGCCCGCGAGCTGATCCGCCTCGGCGAGGTCTCGGCGGCGCGGCAAGCGCTGACAGCGAGCGCGGTGGCACCAGGCACACAGGCCACTCTGGACGAACTCCGGGACCCGGCACGCCGCCTGCAGCAGCCGAGAGAGCAGCTCAGCGAGCGAGCCGCCCGCGCGCCGCCGCAAGGCCTCGCCAGCCTGGAACCAGACCGCCTCCTCACGAACGTGCGCAGGAGTCGCCGGGGCGCTGCGCCGGGCCCCTCAGGGATGACGGGAGAACACTTGCAGACGCTGCTGGACGACGAGCACTGCTGCGACCTCCTGCACCACGCTGCCACGCTCCTTGCGAGGGCGGAAATCCCTGGCCCCGTGGCAGAGGCCCTCCGGCTCGGCCGCCTCACGGCGCTGCGCAAGAGCAACGGGAGGGTGCGAGGCATTGTGACTGGCGACGTCTTCAGGCGGTTGGTTGCCCGCACGCTGGCGCAGCAAGTGGGCGAAGAGGTCGAGCAGGCGACTGCCCCCTTCCAGTTCGCACTCTCGACCCGAGCAGGCACGGAATGCGTGGCGCACCTCGTGCAGACTCTCACCCAAGGGGGTGACCCGGCGGCCACGGTGGTTCCCGTAGACGGAATCGGGGCCTTCGACCTCATGTCCAGAAACTCGATGCTCGAAGGATTAGCAGACCTGGGCAGGGGTAGCGCACTGCTTCCCTTCTGCCGCCTCTTCTACGGGGAAAGATCGCAGTACTGGTGGCGCGACGACGCGGGACAAGGGCACGCGATCGACCAGGCGGAAGGAGGAGAGCAAGGAGACCCGCTCATGCCAGCCCTGTTTGCCTTGGGACAACACCCCGCCCTGCAACAGGTCCAAGGCATACTCCGGCCTGCGGAGCGCCTCTTCGCCTTCCTTGACGACGTGTACTTGGTCACCACGCCAGACAGAGCGAGGTTCCTCTTCAACGCCGTGCGGGACGCCCTCCAAGCGCACTGCGGCATCAGCGTGAACATGGGGAAGACGCGAGTCTGGAACAGGGGAGGGCAGGAGCCACTTGGCATCCGAGAGCTGGGCTCAGCAGCAGACCGGGTGTGGGTAGGAGGAGCAGACACCCCGCCGGAAGCCCAGGGCTTGGTCGTTCTGGGGGCCCCGATAGGCCACGGAGCTTTCGTCGCCCAACACCTGGAGGCCATCCTGGAAGAACACCGCCGCTTGCTCGCGAGGATACCACACGTCGGGGACCTGCAATCCTCGTGGCTCCTGCTCAGCATGTGCGCCAACCCCCGGGCCAACTTCTTCCTGAGGGCGCTGGCTCCCGAGGACACGGCCGCCTTCGCCGCAGCGCACGACGACAACCTGGCCAACGCGCTCGCCGACTTGCTGGAACTCCCGCAAGAAGCTGTCGCAGAAGGCACGTCAGCGCGCCAACGCTGCCAACTGCCGCTTTGCATGGGGGGGCTCGGCCTGCGAAGCGCGTCCAGGACGGCGCCGGCGGCCTGGTGGGCTTCCTGGGCAGACTGCGCGCAGATGCTCCGCGAACGCTGCCCCGAGCTCACAAACCAGATCTGCGCTGCACTGAGCGAGCTGGACCGGGGCCCGCTGCCGGCCGCTCCCGGGTGCTTACAACAAGCCAGCAGGGCAAAGGAGCACCTCTCGGCGCACGGCTTCGCCGCGCCCAACTGGCACGACCTTGCGCAGGGCGCCCGGCCACCGCCGACGCACGAACGGGAGCACGGCGAATGGGCGCACGGCTGGCAGTTCTGGGCCGCCAGAGTCTTGGAGAACACAGCCCGACAGCAGCTCCTCAACGCCTCCACGCCACCGGACCGCGCCCTCCTCCGGTCACAGAGCGGGCCGTGCGCGGGACGAGCCTTCACCGCGCTGCCCACGACGGGGGACTTCCACATCCCGCCGGCAGAATTCAGAGTCCTGCTCCTCAGGCGCTTGCGATTTGATTTACCCTTCGCAGCGAGCGCTTGCAGATGCAGAGGCAGACTGGACGCCAGAGGTGACCACAGAGCGGCGTGCCCAAGGGCAGGGGTGCTCAAGAAGAGATCCATCCCATTGGAGAAAGCGGCTGCACGTATCTGCCGCGAGGCCGGGGGCCGAGTCGCAGAGAACCAGCTCCTGCGAGACCTCAACGTGGACGGCGTCGACCCCCGCGACGGGCGCAAGATCGAGGTCATCGCGAACGGCCTGCCGCTCTGGGGAGGAGCGCAGCTGGCGATTGACGCGACCCTGGTGTCGCCAGTCCGCACCGACGGCACCGCGCAGCCCAGAGCCGCGGACGAGGACGGAGTCCAGCTCGCGGTCGCGCGGGGCCGGAAGGAAGCGACCTACCCCGAGCTCATCGGGTCAAGGAGATGCCGATTGGTTGTGCTGGGCTTGGAAGTCGGCGGCAGGTGGTCCGAGGAGGCCCTGACCTTCGTCCGGCTGCTCGCCAGGACCAGAGCCCGCAGCGCGCCGCAGCGACTCCGAGCGTCGGCGCGGGCGGCGTACCTACACCGCTGGACAGGCTTGGCTGCGGTCGCGGCCCAGAGGGCGTTCGCGGCCACGCTGCTGGAGTTGCCGCCGCACGCCCTGGCCGTCGACGGGGACGAGCCGCACCTCGCCGACCTCCTGGCGGACGCCCGCTACACGGAGACGCCGGCCCCTAGCCGACTGCCGCCGTGTTTCTGACGCGGTGGAACGGGCGCGGCCCCACCCTGGGGGCCCGCCCGCCGGCGCAGCAGGAGGACCAGCAGAACCACTACAACCACTACCACAACTGCGACAACAAGCGCGACAACAAGCAGCGGCAGCAGCTGCAGCATAACCGCCACCACCACGCCTACGACCAGCAGCGCCACCACCGCCAGCAAGGCGACCAGCACCACCACCACCACGACGGCGACCAGGGGCAGCACGGCGACCAGCAGCACCACGACAACAACTACCACTACAGCGACAACAAGCAGCAGCAGCAGCAGCAGCAGCAGCAGCAGCAGCAGAAGCAGCAGCAGCACCACCACCACCACCACCACAACCACTACGACTACCACCAGCAGCGCCACCACAACTGGCACGGCGACCAGCACCACCACCACGACGGCGACCAGGGGCAGCACGGCGACCAACAGAAACACGACAACTACTACCACAACTGCGACAACAAGCAACAGCAGCAGCAGCACCACCACCGCCACCACCACCACGACGGCGACAAGGGGCAGCACGGCGACCAGCAGAACCACGACAACTACTACCACAACTTTGACAACACGCAGCAGCAGAACCACCACCACAACTACGACGACTACGACCAGCAACGCCACACCCGCCAGCACGGCGACCAGCACCACCATCACCACCACCACCACCACCACCACCACCAAGGCGACCAGGAGCAGCACGGCGACCAGCAGCACCACGACAACCAATACAACTACAGCGACAACAACAAGCAGCAGCAGCAGCAGCAGCAGCACCACCACCACCACAACCACTACGACTACGACCAGCAACGCCCCCACCACCAGCACGGCGACCAGCACCACCACCACCACGACGCCGACCAGGGGCAGCACGGCGACCAGCAGCACCACGACGGCCACTACAACCACAGCGACAACAACAAGCAGGACCACCAGCAGCAGCAACACCACCACCACCACAACCATCACGACTACGACCAGCAACGCCACCACCACCAGCACGGCGACCAGCACCACCACCACCACCACGACGGCGACCAGGAGCAGCACGGCGACCAGCAGCACCACGACAACTACCACCACAACTGCAACAACAAGCAGCAGCAGCGGCAGCAGCAGAGCCACCACCACCACCACTACGACTACGACCAGCAGCGCCACCACCACCAGCACGGCGACCAGCACCACCACCACCACCAAGACGGCGACCAGGGGCAGCACAACTGCGACAAGCAGCAGCAGCCGCAGCACCACCACCACCACGCCGACAAACAGCAGAGCCACCACCACCAGCACGGCGACCAGCACCACCACCACCACGATGGCGACCAGGAGCAGCAGAGCGACCAGCATAACCACGACAATGACTACCACAACTGCGACAACAAGCAGCAGCAGCGGCAACAGCAGAACCACCACCGCAACCACTACGACTACGACCAGCAGCGCAGCGACAACAGCAGCAGCAGCAGCAGCAACACCACCACCACCACCAGCACCACCACCACCACAACCACCACAACCACTACGACTACGACCAGCAGCGCCACCACTACCAGCACGGCGACCAGCACCACCACCACGACGGCGACCAGGAGCAGCACGGCGACCAGCAGAACCACGACAACTACTACCACAACTGCGACAACAACAGCAGCAGCAGCAGCAGCAGCAGCAGCAGCAGCAGCAGCAGCAGCAGCAGCAGCAGCACCACCACCACCACCACCACCACCACCACCACCACCTTCACAACCACTACGACTACGACCAGCAGCGCCACACGCACCAGCTCGGCGACCAGCAGCAGCAGCAGCACCACCACCACTACCACCACCACCACTACGGCGACCAGGAGCAGCACGGCGACCAGCAGCACCACGACAACCACTACAACTACAGCGACAAGCAAGCAGCAGCAGCAGCAGCAGCAGCAGCAGCAACAGCAGCAGCAGCAGCACCACCACCACCACCACAACCACTACGACTACGATCAGCAACGCCCCCACCACCAGCACGGCGACCAGCACCACCACCACCACGACGGCGACCAGGGGCAGCACGGCGACCAGCACTACCACGACAACCACTACAACTACAGCGCCAACAACAAGCAGCAGCAGCAGCACCACCACCACCACAACCACTACGACTACGACCAACAACGCTACCACCACCAGCACGGCGACCAGAGCCACCACCACCACCACCACCATGACGGCGACCAGGGGCAGCACGGCGACCAGCAGAACCACGACAACCACTACCACTACGGCGACAACAAGCAGCAGCACCCGCATCAGAAGCAGCAGCAGCAGCAACAGCAGCAGAACCACCACCACCACCACCACCACCACCACTACGACTACAACCGGCAGCGCCACCACCACCAGCACGGATACCACTACCACCACCACCACCACGGCGACCAGGGGCAGCACAGCGACCAGCAGCACCACGACAACCACTACCACAACAGCGACAACAAGCAGCAGCAGCAGCAGCAGCAGCAGCAGCAGCAGCAGCAGCAGCAGCAGCAGCAGCAGCAGCAGCACCACCACCACAACCACTGCGACTACGACCAGCAGCGCCGCACCCACCAGCACGGCGACCAGCAGCAGCAGCACCACCACCACCACCACCTCGGCGACCAGGAGCAGCAAGGCAGGGCCCGCGCGGACGCCGGCGCGGCAGGGGGCGACGGCGGCCGGCGACGGCTGGCGGCGGCGGGCCGGCGGCAGCTGCTGGGCCCGCGACGGAGGCCGCGGAGGCCGAGGAGGCGGAGGAGGAGGCGGGCGCTGGGGCGAGGAGGCGGAGGGCGGCAGCGCGGGGGCCCCGCCGCCCTTTGGCTAGGAGGGGCTCGGGGAGGCACGCCAGAGCGGGCCCCGAGTGAGGGTGGGGCTAGAACGCCCGCGACTCTCGGGGCGGCCGAGGGGGGCCCCGCAGCGCAGCCGCGCCAGGAGCCAGACGAGGCGCCGCGGCCGGCGGAGCCCCGCTGCGAGGGGGCGGAGGCGGAGGCGGCGGGCTGCGGCTGGCTGGGGCCCGCCAGGGGCCGGCCGAGGCGCGAGGGGGGCGGCGCGCTGGCTAGCGGAGGCGGGGGGCGCCGAGGTGGGGCCGGGCTCGGCCGCCCGCCGGCCGGCGGGGCGGACGGGGGCGGCGGCGGCGGCGGGGGGCGGCGAGCCTGAGGCCTAGGCCGACGGCGGCGGGCGGCGGGCCACTGCAGGGGCCCCGCGCGGCGGCCTCGGCTTGGCGTGAGCCCGCGCAAGGGAGAAAAAAAAAAAAAAAAAAAAAAAAAAAATCTCCCAACGTGGTGGGCCCTGGCGGACGAGAAGTGGGCCTTTGACGCGGCGCCCTTCAACGCCATGCTCTAGGGTGCGTTTCAAGCAGGCGGTCGGGGGCCCCACTGGCAGCTTCTTGACGATGTTCTTGCGCAGGACCACCAGCGCGTGTGTCTCCATGGGTTATTGAGCCCTGTCTTCGTCCTCGGCTGCGGAACTGCCCAGGGCCGCCGCCTCTCGGTCGCCGTTTTTTCAGCGCCCAGTTGCGAGGGCTTGCCGACGAAGTGGCGTCTGTCCAGCCAAGAGGCCGCACCAATGTCATACCTTCGTTCGCTCGCCAGGCCTTCCACAAGGCGTTGGCGGCGTCTCCACCCGCGGCTGTCCACCTCCCCCCGCGGGGGGGTCTCCTGGTGGCGGTCCTCGCGAGGGGGGGGGGCGGCGCATATAGCGGGGGCTGGGCGCGCGCCGCACCCGCAGGCGCGCCGGTTCGTGTGCGCGGCCCTCCGGGAGCTGCCGTCGTTGGCGGACCGAGTGGCAGTGGCGGAGCTACCAGTGTCGGGGTTTCTGCCGCCCCCACGGCCCCGTGCCCTTCGGAGGGTGCGGTTCGCGGCGTCTTGGGCGACGAGCCGTCCGCGGCCTGCTATCGTTACGCCCGCCGGGTCAAGGCGTACAATCGTGCGTGTTGCCGTTGCTGGGCGCCCTGGCCCCAGTCGGCACCCTTCCAGGTGCATGCGCAGGTGGAGTCTGCGATTCTTTGCCCGCGCTCTCTTCTCTTTTGGCTGGGCTCGGCTGCCACCAGGGCCCGCCACTGCGCCACAGTATTTTGACGGCGCAAGGCGGCTGGCCTCTGCGCCTGGGCACGAGGTTCGTGGAGCGGTCGCTCATGGCCCTCGCCCCTTTCTATGTGCTCCCAGAGGGTCGCCCGGCGTCCATCGTGGGCGCGGCGGCCGCGGCCCTTCCGGCCAGGCCCTAGATCACGGACGCAGCTGCGCTGGCCCAAGTGCTTCCCTCCCCCCGCTGCCTATCGCCGAGCACTCTGCTTCCGCGGTGGGCTCGCTGGGCGCGGCGAAGCGCTGCCCCGAGGCCAGGCGCGCTCTTTTGCAGGCGTGTGAATGGCAAGTCGTGCGGCCAGCGACGCTAGGAGTATGACCGGTCTGCCTTCCAGGAGGCGGCTGCGCCCGTGCTCGCCCCGCTAGGCGTCTCCTTTACCTCTCTCTCCCCCGCCCCCTCTTGGCCGTTGCTGGGCCCGCTCCAGATCGAGCGTGGCCCGGCTCTCTGGTCTGACCTCCGCGCCTGGGCGCTCATACGGATGAGTGGCGCGTGGCCCTTGCCAGTCTTCGGCGGGGCGTCGCTTCCCTCTGCTGTGCCCGCCTGTCCCTGGTGCGGGGCATTCCAAGTTTCTGTTCGGCACGTGCTGGTGGAATGCCCTGGGACAGGGCCGGCACAGTCGGCCCTGCGGACGTCGGCGCCCATTCCTCCTCGCGAGGCGCCCGACTGGCTGCTCCGCTGCTTTTTTGCCGAGGGTGCCGCGGTGGCTGGCCGCACAGCGCACCTGGCATATGTAGGGAGCGTGGTCCTCCCCGCCTGCGTGCGCGTCGTCCTCGAGGCAAGCCTCTCCCAGCCGCCTGCGACTGCGAGAGGGGAGCGTGGAGGAGGGCTGGGCGCTGCATAGCCGTCCTCT